CTGGACACCAGCAGCCATGGCATGAATCTTTTGACGGCCTGTGTCATTGGAGAAAGACATTACTTTGATTTGATTGGCGGCAGCATATCTTACTACAATGCTAAGTAAGCCTGTGACACAATGTACTGTCAATATTTTACTCTATCATGTGTGGCTCTGGCTTTTCAGTTTTCACTCTTTGCAATGACACCAGATAAAATGCTCCAAGGTTTACCGGTTCATAGTACTTCCATTTAATAACAGTCTTCTGATTTTGTCAATCTGTAAGCTTTAGCCGAAAGAAGTCAAGTGGTTTGTTATTGAAAGATACATGTTTGTACTCCAAAATAGCATCATCTCATGTATTCCCATGCTAGCACATCACCAGTTTTCTTCTGATACGGTCTATGTGAAGCAAAGCTGAAGATATTTTTGGTCACATTTTCATACTCCTTTTCTTCCAGTTTTAGCTATAACAGTATTATGCTTTACAAACTGAGCCATCCTACATAGCCTCCAAATGTTTGTACTAACACCTGAGGAATCAGTCTGGTTTATTTGTTTTGTTTTAAATAAAGATGCTATTTGACACTTCAAAGCTTACAAATTTATAAATAGCAAAACAACATGGAGGGAAGCAACAGAAACGAAGAGTCACTGGAAATTGCATGTTCCTCACAGAACATAGCATCAAACACCTTGTAAGGGGACTTACCCCCCCCCTCCAAAAAAGCACATGGCTGCTGCTCCTCAAAAGCACCTCATCTATGGTTCTTCAAAGCAGGCACTGCTAGAATAAAGGCAGTGGGTTCAGGATACTTCTGTGAGCCAAGAAAATTGTTTACAGTGAGCTCAGCAAACATCCATGGATAGAAGACCAGACCACCCCACCATCCAACCCTGCCAAATGGCAGTAGCCACCAGGCTCAGAACCAATGCATTCACATGTAGAATATTAAGCAATCATTGCATATCTTGAAATAATGATACAGTATCTCTAGTGTGAGGTCCATGTTATATTGTTACTCTCTGTAGTGCACCATGTGTGTCTAAATGCTAAAAAAAAGTGTATTTGCTCAATGTCAGTTTGCAAAGTGCAAACTACAGTGTGCCAATATGGTGTGATACTGTTTTGCTCTACAGGCTAAGATGAGGTTAATACACTTTAGTTCCTTCAAATTTTTTTAAACCAGAGTTTTCCAAAAGGATACACTTCCTGGCGTGGCTAGATGATTCTATTAAACATCTGTGTTGGACTATTCCAGGTTCTCTTTATTTTGGTGGATTGTCTGGGAAGATTTTGTGACTGCCCAGATAATGTCTTCACTGCATGAATGTTCACCGGGGCCAAATCATCCCCTCCTGTGTGGAATATAACAGAAAGGCCAGGGCTGTGGAGGGCGGAAGAGTGGTGCTGCAAAGGAGGGCTAGTTCCCTTCAGTGTTAAAGGGGGAAGATCCAGGTACACACAGAACCTAACAGGCATGATCTTGGATTAGTCTAGTGAGAACTGACCTGTCTTTGAAAATGTAGCCACCTGGCATGTTCCCTCATTCATTTCCACACTAAAGAGAGATGGAGCAGTTAATGGCAGAAAGAGAGAGAGATGCCATGAAAATTACAGGCTGTGTAAAAGTTTCTTTGCAAATAACTGTTTGACACCACTAAGAAGTTACATTAAAACTGTTTCAAAGTCTAAAATTAGTTACATTTTAAACTAACTGCATATGCTTTTATTGTCTCTGATCTAAAATATAATCCCAGGCGGCTGTGAGAAGCATGCAAATTACAGAAAGCTAATTTGCTCCAACAGCGACACCTCCCATGTAGTCGGGAGGTCTATTAGAACTAGTGTATTCTCCATTATTTGCATATTAATAGCACCCGCTGAAATACTTTGGGATTTACTTTCCCTGCCAGAAGAGGGACAAAACAAAAAATATATACAGAATTCCTGTGATACAGCTATGATGGGTAATAAACTATCTAGGAGGTGCTAAGAATACTGAATTAATAGTGAGAGGCAGTGGATTAGCACTGCAGATGGCATCTGTGGTTTTTAGATAAACTGTACTGCAAGCAAGTTAGGATTCCCCTTGCTTGAAAAAATAATCCCTTTTTTTGGAAAGTACCGTGTAATTTGAAATCAGTCACTTGGCTCAAAGCTGAGGAATTGAAAAATTTAACTAAAGAAATCCAGACCCTGAAACAAGACAAAACAAACAAACACAACCCCAGAGTCGCCAAAACCAGAACCCCCCAAATGTGGACTCTGATTTAAAATCTACAGAAATCCAGGCTTCTGATATTAGCCAGGCCTGCAAGGCCCCGTTCCTTTGCACATAAAACAAAAATAAATTAAAAACAGCTTGTGATAAATGAAGGGGAGGGAAGTAGCTCCCTGTTATGGACACCCAGCCAGCCAGTTAGCTATAAAATCTCTGTTAGTAGCTGTTCTCTACTTGCTTTACCTGTAAAGGGTTAAAAAAGCCCATAGGTAAAAGGAAGGGAGTGGTTACCTGAGCACAAGAGCCAATGGGAAGGCTAGAACTTTTTTAAATTGGGAAAAAAACTTTCCCTTTGTCTGTCTGTTGTTGTTCTCTGGAGAGAGGAGACATAGAGCAGGAACAGGGCTGAACTAAGCTGTAGGAAGCTTTAAGCCAGGTATGTAAAACCATCAGATCATGCCTAGAAACTACTTATTTGAAACCCCTAGATATGTAAGTAGATCAGGAAATGTCTAGGAAGATATGATTATCTCTTTTCCCCCCCTTATTGGCTTGTGGACTCCTCTGTGCTAACCCCAAATGCTTTTGTTTTGCTTGTAACCTTTAAGCAGGACCTCAAGAAGGTTATTCTTGATGTTTAATTTTGGTAAGCAGGTTTTTAAAATCTATCAAAAACCTAAGTTCCAGATGTATTTTCTTGCTTTTTGTTTTTTAAAAAAGTATACCTTTTTTAAAAACAGGATTGGAGTTTTGGTGTCCTAAGAGGTTTGTGCATGTTGTTTAATTAGCTCATGGCAACAGCTGATTTCCTTTGTTTTCTTTCTCAGTCCTTCCCCGGAGGGGGTGGGTGAAAGGGCTTGAGGGTACCCCACAGGGCGGAATTCCCAAGTGCGCCTTCCTGGGTACAAAGGGTTTTTTTTGCACTTGTGTGGTCAGAGAGAAGCTGTGACCTTGGGAGTTTAATACCAGCCTGGAGTGACTATATTAATTTTTAGAATCCTTGCGGGCCCCCACCTTCTGCACTCCAAGTGCCAGAGTGGGGAATCAGCCTTGACACAGCTACAGCCTGAGAGTTACTTAACAATCCAACTTCCAGTCTCTACTTATGACCAGTGCCCCCCTTCTGCCTCCTTACCCTTTCTATATAAGGACCCTTCTACATTTTTACAGCTTATCCTCTTTCCAAAAACGGCAATTCCTGCTCCAAAAGGAACATTATCTAGGTATTGTTAACCCTTTCAAGAGCCATAAGAGTCCTATATTTTCCCATTAATGATAAGATGGACAAAAGTAATATACATTTTAAAAAAAACATTTAATTATACACCGATGTTAAACAGGCAATGAGCTGCTGTGGCAGTTAATTACTGCTACCATGCTGAACACGGTAGCATTTTAAATATTTCTGTATTCCAAGACAAAACAAATAAGCTACTAACTTTAAGTTGCTACATTTTCCTCCACTTTTGAAAAAACAGCCAGGAAAGAACATTAGAGTTATGAAATTGATCCACTGAGAGGTGAAGAGCAGATATGCCATCGAATTCACTAAGTGGATCTCTATAGGCTAGCCTGTAACTTTAGAGTCTGCCCCAAGTAAGGGTCAGTGAGTAGCTGTAGCACCCCAGAGAGTCACAGTTCCTTTTCTGCTCCCGCCTGTGGGAGGATATGCTACTTCATCCTTCTTGTGTGCCCAGCTAGCGAGTGGGGGCAGGGGCAAAACCAGAGCTCCTTTCACTCCCCCCATTCCACCCCTCCCGCCTTGTTCACAGGGAGGGCCATTAGACAAGTAGCCTGTGTTCTCCTCACCACAGAAAAGCACAATCTTTGCAGGGTAACAAGTGGGGGGCCGAGAGGGCTATCTCCATGCACAGCCAAGTAAGGCCTGTGACAATTTAGTCCTGTGTGAGTTAAAATTACTCAATATGGCCCTCAAGACAGTACAGTGATGGAACCCCTGAAATGTAATGGACAGAAATTCCCTGCTAAGGCACTAATGAATGTTAATTCTCATTAATGTACACGTAATTATTAAATAGAGCACTATGTAATGAGGCTAGTCACCAACTAATAACAGTAGCGGTAGAGGAAGGATGGCCTGAGGAATCAGAAAGGAGGACTAGTTGCAAATAAAACTCTAAGCCTGTAATCATTGCCCGATGATATTTTTCTTGGCCTTACCCAATGATGCCATGGTCAGGAATCTCCAGAGGAAAGGTATACTGTAGTATTTCTCAGAAGCACTGAATGACTCAGGGTATTGTTAGCTGGAAAGGTATCTCTTCACGTTGAGGACACTGGTTCAAATCTGGTCAAGGAGTAGGCAGTGACTGAACATTACCACCACCTGACACATGCTCAGTGCCCCATGTAAAATGTTTTTTTTTGAGGGGGGGCCTCCATACGGTTCCTAGTGGGAAAGTGTCCAGCTCACAAAAGCCACCATTGTTAAAGCCACTGTCATTGGCAGTCTGTGTCTCAGAGAAGCCAAGGATTGAAGAAATGTTTTGAATGAACTCTTATAATCAGAAACACTTCACTTCCTTTAGAACAGGGCTGAGACCTACTGGCAGGAAGCTCGGGATAGCTTTGCGTTGATACTATCTTCATTGAGCTTTTTCGGTGGATAAAAATTTCCTGTCTCCATTGCTGTCAATCCAGCTTCCAAACCATTTTAAAGTATTTTTCCAAACTTGAAGAGCTATGCATTTTTAATGACAACAATATTTTTTTAAAAACCACTACCACCCAGGACATTACTCGTTATAACAGATTGAACTGGATGTTCCTTACCTGAAATTTCATGAGCAATTAGCAAACAAAATTATCCACAAAAGCATGTATGTCCTATTATCCTTGCAGTGATTACAGCAGCAGTGATGCTACGAGCTGGCAGTTTTCTATCAAGCAGCCCCCAAAAGTGGGTAATTTTTATTTCTTACATGAAGTTCATGGCAGCCAGTATTTTACCACCTGCATATCCAAAAAAAAAAAAAAAAAAAGCAAGGGAGAAAGGAAGAAGGAAACAATATTCACAACGTGTTTATATTCAAGAAGTGCATGTTTCAGAGAGGGAGGCTGTGATGTGTATATTTGCATTGTCTGTGAAAGAATCCTCAGTGGCAATGCAGCTGGAAAAATAATGGACGATCAGAGGACTGCCTTCAGTGGCAAACTTTCATCTGGTAAGTTACAATTATATTGTAGAAAATAATACCTTAGACTACTACTAATTTGTGAATCCCAGGAAAGGCAGATCACTGATTCCCCATCAGGGCTGCAGAACCTGATCTGTAAAAATTTGGGCCTCAGCAGGAGGTTGTACGTGAGAGTGATTTGCATTTCAATTCTTAGTTCCCCACAATCTTTAAATCTTACTGCAGCACAATGGAAATTCCTGTTCTCAGTGTGCTCAAAATCTACATTCTTTTTTTAAAAAAAATCTTGGCACAATGAAAGTCAATCATTAATGGGAAAGAATGTGGTATTTATGCTCAGATTGTCTCACAATGCACCATTACATCAGATTCTTTCATAATTTTATGGGGGAGCGTGTCCCCTGACACCACCTTCAGGGATTTCACATGGCGCTTGTCGCTATCATTCCACTTCCACAAGCACCACAGCCTTTTCAATTTTTATCTGCCCAGAACCTGGAATATGTTACATTATTTAGTTTCTGTGAGAAGCTTTTCTGTATCAGCCTTCATTTGTAGTGAATTCCTGCTTCCCTGAAAAATGAGCCTGTGAGTGATGGATGGTTAAGGGAATTTCAGGCAGGCCCCCTTTACACGAGGCAGCAGAAGCTCTGTTATTCTCTGCCGTTCTTCCTGCTGATGGATGGCACAGCCCGAACTGGTCCCGGGTAAAGCAACTACCAGACTAACATCAATGATGAGACAGTCAAAGACACCCCAAAAGATTCAAAGGTCCACACTGCGAACCCCGTACTTATACTGGTAAGCAGTTATCCCCAGAGTAATCTTCCTAACTTCAGTGGGGTCACTTGTGTGAGTGCCTGCTCCCCAATATGAATAAAGGGAGGTTCACAATCTGTCCCTAGGAAATAAGTCACCACGTCCTCATTGTTCATTTTAGAATCTGAGCTAGACAAAACCTTTGGATGTGATTTTAATGTGCAGTTATTTTAAACTTGGTTGCCAATGATTAATTATTGTTATTATTTGTATTACAATGGTGCCTAGATGCCCCAACCAAGGTTGAGGCCCCTGCATGGTGCAAGGCAATGTATGAATATAAAGAAAGAGACAGTTGTTCTCCTGAACATCTTACAATCTAAATGTCAAAATGAATACTTATTCCTGGTTATTTTGGCAGTATATATATATAATATATATATATATATATGTATAATGCTCAAACTCTGCAGTCCATTCCACACAGGGGCAAAACGTCAGCTGACTTCCATGGGAACTCCATGTTTAGCACCTCACGGGATCATAGCCTGAGTCACAAGTGCAGGATTTGGCCTACAGAGAACAGAAGGATATCAGAAACCAGCTCTAAAACTTTCTTCAAGTTTAAGAGTTGGCTCCTCCCATTGAGCTTGACGGGAGTCTTCCACTGACTTCAACAGGAACAGACTTTCCTAAATGAAGCACATTGTTTCTATAACATAGAGGATTTTCCATTCTCCCGCTCTATGTTACTATGTTGGTGTCCAGCAAGTTGTTTTGTTGCTGGTGTTTGCCTGGCTGCCGTACTAACGGAAGTTTTGAGAGACCTGAAGAAGAGCTCTGTGTGGCTCGAAATCTTGTCTCTCACCAACAGAAGGAAGACCAATAAAAGCTACTACCTCACCCACCTCTCTCTGACTTTCGTATAAGTAACTCTCTTATAACAAATGGCAAACAAACTTCCATGTTGAAGGGGGATTTTTTCCTTCAGACACATTTCCTGAAAATGGGAATGATGCACAAGGTGACTGTGGGGGCCAAAATGTTTAAAGGTAACTAGTGATTTTGAGTACCTGAATTTTGGGTGTTCAACCTGATGCACCTTAAAAGGCGCTTGGTTTACAAAAAGTGCTGAGCACCCACACTCTGAAAAGTAGGATCTTTAAAGGTGTCTGAAGTAGGACACATAAAATCACTAGTCACTTTTAAAATCGTGGCTTAAACTCCTTAGTATTTGTTAGGGCTTGTCTACACTGTGTGTTAGTGCACACCAGATTAAGAGCAAATTCTGGTGCGTGATGCCATGTCATATAGTAGCTGGCCTGTGTGGAGCCTGCTAGTGCACACTAAAAGTTTCCAAGTAAGTGCTGATGTAACCCTATTTCAAAGAGTACTATGTCAATGGGGGGAGGGATAGTTCAGTGGTTTGAGAGCTGGTCTGCTAAACCAAGGTTGTGAGTTCAATCCTTGAGGGGGCCATTTAGGGATCTGGGCCAAAAATTGGGGATTGGTCCTGCTTTGAGCAGTGGGTTGGACTAGATAACCTTCTGAGGTCCCTTTTAACCCTGATATTCTATGAATGCAGCATGTAGACAATCCCTAAAGCTCTGCCAGTCCTACACCCATTGCACAGGAAAAGCTGCCATACAAATCAACTGGAACTTTGGCTGAGTGAGGTGTGCAGGATCTGGACCCAGACTAGTGAAGCCAAAATGGATCCTTTCATATTAATGGCACTTGAAGCACTCAGAAGTATAGATCTTAACAACTGCCCTTCAACTTACAGCTCTGGCATTCAAAACATACAACCTATCTGTTTGTACTACATTTCCCTAACAGCTTACATTGCGGCCATGCAGCCAGCAGTTTGCAAAGGTCTCCTAAAATAAGCTTATTTAAAAGAACAAGGTCAATGCCCAACATATGTCAGATTTTATGAGTTGAAATCAAAGAGCTAGTAACAAGTGGAGTATGTCAGAACTCTGTGGGTTTTCCTTGCCAGGTTCTTTCATCAAGCTTGGATTTTAGATGCCAAAAGCAGTAATAACCACATCCTAACTACTTCATTTCTGTATAAAGGTCTATACATCGGCTAGTTAGCCCAATAAAGAAGGCTAACACATAGATAAATGTGTTTGTCTGGACATGCTATTTAGTGTCTATATAAAGTGTATTTTTCTTTTAATGGGACACATGCTGATTCCCTGCTTCAGCCTTAGGCTCTAGTAAAATCAGATTAAAAGCATTAGTAATGTAGTTAATTCCATGCCCACCAAGAAGAAGAAAACATTACAAGGGGGAAAATGGGGATTTAAGGATTTTTTTTAATGTAACGCTCAGGTTGGATCTTTGTTAAAAAGGGTACTGTTTCAAAAGCAAAACTTTTTTCTCAGTTAAGATAAAGCAACTCTGTACAGCATGTTAACCATCTCTTGCAGAGTGATATTTGTGATTTCAATTAAAATATGCTATTGTCACTTTAGCCTCCCTCCTTATATTTTAAATTGATCCTAATGGCTTTGCTTTAAGTGATTTGCGTCCCATAGTGAGTCCCTGTCAGTTACAGTACCTCCCACTATTGCCCTGCTGAATAATCACTATCACATAATCACTTCTTCCTCCTTCTCCCAACATTATTACCCACTCCCGCCCTGATTCTGCATGCTGGTATAGTCTGCAAAGTATTCACTCTTTAACATCTGGCTTGTTGCTCTGGCATGCAGTCAGGAACTTAAAAAGAAGGGATAAATGCTGCAGGAAGGAGGCCAAACCAATGGCTCTAAAGGTAGACTTCTATTTTACCACGTCTATTTACGAGAGAGAGAGAGAGAGAGAGAGAGAGAGAGAATTTTTTTCTTGCTACTTGCCATCTCATTTCCAATAAAACAGATTTAACAGTGAAATTTTACTTTGGCAAATATGGTTTCCTGCCCCACTGTTTTAGCTATGTTTACATTTTCTTACAGGGGCATAAGGAATTATGCCTTTCCATCTTCCTCATTAATGCACTGAGGGCAATTGTTCTCCACCAGCGAATATGGGGAGAGTTTAATGCTGATGTTCTGCAGCAGACCTGGAAGATGTGCCATGGCCTTTCACTGCACTCTTCAGCTTTGGTGAACACCTTTCACATGGTCACTGGTGTTAACAGTATCTACGCCAGGGATGTGCACCACAATTTCATTTTCTTTTGTTCTCAAATGAGGATGACCCTGAGCATGAGGAATATTTATACCCATCGGGATTGATTCACCCCTTCTGTCACAGGGGTGTGTGATCTGCACAACCTCAGGCCTACAGAGGGGAAGGCAGATTTCAGTGTCATGTAGGGCTCATTGGAAGCCCTACAGACAGAGGCTGCCTGTCCGGGCACTGAATGAATGCTGTCTGGTGTGCCCTCCTGCTGCAGTCCTCACACCTGCCTCACCCAAGTGGCTTTGCCAAGAGTCAGCTGAAGCAATGGTTGCAGATGACTTGTGCTTCTGCAGCCTGTCCCCACAAGCAGAGACTTTCCACCCTGGCGCCCCCTAAACCAAGCAGTGAATCTAGGTTTTTATGTAAAAACTACTTTAGCTACTGAAAGTAAACAGTTGCATTATGAAGTTAAATTTCACTGATATTCAGTGTAACAAAATGGACAGAATATAATAGGCCTGTAATGGTATCTCAGATCCAGCAACCATCCCCTCCCCCACTCAACAAGCACCACTATATTTCAGAAGGAGGAAGATTTGAATTAAAATCCCCACATACAAGCTCACAATTTTGGTGCTGAGAGGTGACTGCAAAATCAAGGGCTATCTTCAGTCCTTGTTTATTCTGGTTTCTAACACACTTATACAAGGCATAGGTATCTGTGGCAAGTCTGCTTAGTAATACAAGGTGTCCATAATTCCAACTCCTTTGGGGGAGACCACAGCTGGCCAACAGCCCCAGAAGTGGGTGGTGATTAGTGTGGCTAAGGTGGTCTATGTCTTCCACCAACAGAGCTTCCGTGGAGGCTTGGCTAGAAACTGAATCTTCTCTCTCTGGAAAAAAACCCAAAGAGCGGGCAAG